CTCTCTAGGCGTCTTTTCCGGCGTTTCATCTCTCTCAGCTCCTCGGTAAACCAAGGAGCTAGTTGAGATCTACGTCGGGTCAGAGGCCGCAGCGGCACGACTCGGTCCAGTGCTGCGGCTGCGGCCACATCCCAGGCCGCAGCCTGATCTTCCGCCGAGTCGTGACCTAGCTCCTCAGGATATGGCCCAAGCTCCGTCCAAAACCTCTCCGGGTCCATCAGGAGCCTGGGACGGAACCATCTAAGCGGTTCCGTCTCCCTGCGGCGAGGGGAAGCGGTCCGGAAGTCCATCCTAAGGAGTGCGTGATCTGACCATGACAAAGGCTCTATAATTATCTCCCCCATTTCCAGATCATTCTGCCACTGGCCAGAGACAAAAATTATGCAAATCGCTGCAGATGTTAAGTGAATCATGCGGTCGTTAAGCGAATCTGGCTCCCCGCCCCTTCCCCCACTGAACTTGCTTGTCCGAAGATGGCTGGGAAGATTACAAACACTGATCACGTGGTCCCTGGGACACTGTCATAAATACAGGCGGGTTTGCCAAGTGCCCGAATGTTGATCACGTGACCACGGGGATGTGTGAAAAACAGTCATAGGCCACTTTTTTCTGTGCCATTGTAAGTTCAGTCACTAAATGAACAGTTGTGAGTTGAGGGCTACCTCTATGTATTTTTTCCATCGTTGGATGAATTTGCACCCAGCAATTCTTTAATTTTTTTTTCAAAATGTCCACCCTGCAGGGGAAAAATATCCAAGGCTTCCTGTTCAAACTTCCACTGCTGATGCATTATGCCTTGATATATTTTTGGCAGTTTAGCCAGTGTCATTGTCAAGGTTATGATTTAACAGCCAAGTAGCTTATGTAATGATATAAGAAGTTGTAATGATGTAATATAATATAAGGTGGATGATGCAATGATAGGAATGACTCAGCAGGGTCTGTATCCCTTTAAGAGCAAGCAGGGTCTGTATCCCTTTAAGACCCTGAGTATAAAAAGGAAGGCTTTGCTGGAGTGTCTCTCTCTCTCTCTCTTGTCCATTTTCCTGCTGTAACTGCTGTATTCTGCTGCACAGAATAGTGTACAGTGCTGGGATTCAGCCGGTTTGCACCAGTTCGGTAGAACTGGTAGCTAAATTTTGCTGCATTCAGAGAACTGGCTGGCTTCCAGAAGTCCGGTCTAGGCCTGGGAGGCCTGGAGGAAGATGCCACTTCCGGAAGTCCATTCTAGGCCTCGGAGGACTGGAGAAGGCCTCCCAGGTCTAGAACAGCCCACCGGAAGTGCATGGA